GAGCTGGTCTCTGTTCAGACTCCTGGTGCCAACAGGCCGCCCAAGTACTGTGCGCGCTCCTGGAGACGGTGTCGCGACTGCACAGCCAGCGCCCAAGAACACTGACTGCGCGAAGTGGTTGCCACCGGGAGTGTGTCGGGCAAAGTAGGATCCTGCATTACCTGCTGCTAATGGCGATGGGCAGGCTAATCTTCGTATGGTCAGGACTAGTGCGACATTGCAAAGCCAGGTTGCACTTGTCAGCACTCTTGACTTAAGTCGTTTTTGTTTGCCTCAAACTCATGGAGTCCTGAAGCCATGAAGTTACCTGTACGCGGACCTGCAAAGGTTTGGGCATAGCACACGGTGACGTGAGCGCAGAGAACGCGTCCGGCCCCTAAGGTCGCATCCAAAATTACATTCTGCAGAGAGGGGGAGAGAGCCCTGGGATCATCCATATGTGTCGAGTATAGGGTATGCTGTTCAGATGCCTTGTGCAATGCAGTAGGTAGGCAGCAGTTAGCGGAGAATCTCACGTTTTACTAGTCCTAGCACCGCACTGTAGAGCTCTCAAGGCCTTGCTTGATGTTGATGGCGTAAGATAATCTTTGCAATCCTTCGTCAGGCTGTCGTGTGCTCATCATTTCCTTTGTTGAGTGCGGGTTTGGGGCGCAGCCCCTGCAGGGCTTTCGAGCTCTGCATGACACATGGAAGAAGAGACCAAACACCAAAGAGATCCACAGATCCACCGTTTCCGTTGCTAGTTGTGTTCGTGAATGCTAGACTACTGGGAGTGTTCCTGAGGATCCTGCGAGTTGAGAACGGAGAAGTGGAGGCCATGTCAGCTCCGGGCTTTGTGGCGTGCCATGTGATGCAAGCTAGATCATGGACTCAAAGCCAATCCAGTCTGGTCTAGTTTGCAGAGGATGAAGTGAGAGGTCTCGGCATCTTAGGTTGGAGCACAATCGATTTGTCCGGGTCCGGGACAGGTGGCTCTTCTCGACTTTGCCATGGCAATTTACGATACAGACCTGTCTGCTGTGCCAGGGTCTCGGTTCCTGTTGAGTTTCTAGTGGAACATGCGCGAAGTTCACGATTGTTCATATTGTTTTGGGATTGGCCATTTTCCCCTACACACGGATATGCACCAGAAGGAGCTAGTAACCCTCGAACATCAGCGTTTGGTGATAACAGTGTCCAAGACCGGGCACCCTTAGTTGCACAACTTGCCTGGAAGGATATTAGTGAGTTTCCAAGGACTGGCACGAGGGGAAAGCCGATGTATCGAGCACCGGAGCTCGTCCGCCATGTCTTCATGCCTGAGTTTGGGATTCTTTCAAAAGGTGAGTTCACAGTCGGGTTTGGGAATGAATCATTTACTTCTAAAAGTGGTGGTGGTGGTGGTGGTGGTGGTGGTGGTGGCGGCGGCGGCGGCGGCGGCGGGGGTGGTGGTGGTGGTGACGGTGGTTGTTGCCAGAGTGTCCTGGCCCCAGGGTTTGTGGCGGCAGAGTGCCTGGGTACGGAAAACACTTGCAGGAGACGCTCCAAGAGAACGTTTCCTATGATGCTCGTGCCGCAGATCTCTTCGCCTGCGGAGTCCAGCTCTGAGAAACCCGCAAGACTACTTTGAGCTGGGGTACTGCGCCACATCATGTCACATCTGTGCCAGACCTTCCCGCCTTTGCGCAATTAGTGTACAGCCAGTACCAGTGCTCTGGTGACTCCGGTTGCTGAGGTGGTTGGCTATGCTTTGGCAATAGGTAACTACCCTTGGCAGAGCACTTGTGGAGGCGTGCAGGGTACATGCCCTGAAAAAGTGCGGTGGCCCCTATAAGTCAAACTGTGATGGTTTGACATGGAACGTTTGCAGTCTGTGCTGGATCAAGACAAGTGCGTTAAGCTGGAACACATGCCAACCTTTCGAGAGGCTGCAAGGCGTTCTCCTACGTTCAGAAGAACGGCCTTGCAAGATTCTTTGAAAAGCCGCTCGCTTGAAATGTCAGTATTCGTACGACTTCCAGGGAGAATACAAAACACAAACGGGGGATTTTCATGAAGGGTGCTGAGTGGAAAGGGTTTTAGTGCTGCTTTGATTTGGGCTCTCAAGGCGAACGATTCCTGTGGGCTCCTCGAAGGTCGGCATCTTGATCTGAGCGCTGTAGTGAGCAAGCTGCGCCATTTGCTTGTAGTGCGCAGGGGTTGCCCAAAATAGACTGGCCCAAAGCACCGCCAAGTCCTTGAAACAGACATAAACATCATAAACGCAGCTGCAAGGTCCCAGTCTCGCAGATCCTCTCTCCAGGCTTCCAGGCCGTGCTGGTCGCACGAGCCTCAGCTCACTGTTTTCCCTGTTCTTGCAGAAATTCGCCGGCCCAGGCTCTCTTGGACCTTGACCCGGTGCGATCCTTAGCTTACATGGCGAGCATCCAAAGGAAGGTGTTCTCTTGCCTCAGGCAAAGCGTGTGGATCTTTCTGAGATCGTTCTGAAGGTGTAGATGTGCACGTGCCAAGCTGAGTGTGCCATGAGGCTGCCTCCTCGCTGAATGGCAGTCGAACCACCACCTTAAGAATGCCTGATTTGCAAAACGTGTGTGACTGAGGATTCATCGTGGCAGGAGATGGGCCCGCCAAGCAGCAGAGCAACCGCTTGCCAGTGGATGCCAGAATGACAGCTTAAGTTGTAAGTAATGAAGCCGAGACACGACCGCCGCACATATCCTGATGGGGACCGTGCTTCAAAGTATCTGGCACCGCTTGGTGCAGGCTGGGTGCCGAAGTTGCTTAGGTGCGGAGGAGTCTCTTGTGCCGCAATCGAATGGATGACCGCGCCAACCTTCGGTTTATGATTGCCTCCTTTATAAGTCCGCATTCCGAAAGGATGTGGACTCATCTCTGCTAACAGTCGCTAGGCTACTCAAACAGAGAGTGGATTTCAGAGTCGAGGGCTTGAGATCAGCAAGCCAACCCAAGTCTGGGAGATGCTCAAATTTTAGTGTGCTTGGAGTGGAGTTGCTTTGTCAGCCATGTTTCAATGACTTTGGCTGTAGAATGGCTTACTTGCCTCGGGCCACGCGACCACATGTTTTAGGGAAAAAGCTAGCTTTTGCATCTTTTTAGGCGCCTTGCCGCCGCTTCAAAGTTTCCACGGCTGAATGAAGATGTCAACATCGTCCGGAAGCCGGAGCTTCTTCGCAAGTCAACATTTGATGATGAGATCAATCATGACTGGCGTCTGGAGTTCTGGCGTTTTGCCCATCCTTTTGTGCAGCAGTGACCCACGCTTGAAGAGATCCGCATTCAGCCAAGAGCACGCAGCTTTTAACATGAAATGACGGAAGCACGATGATTTTTGAAAGCACTAGGCAGGCTTGGCTTGCGGCATTAGCACTGGAACAGCCAGCAATTGCAATAGCAACTCCGATCAGTTAGTTGTTATCTAGAATGGTGTTGCTGTGCGATGTCAAGCCCAGCCTGCAGATTTCTAAAGCCCTCGCACCTGTAGACTGTCCTGAGATTATTCTACAGATTCCTTTGCACGTCTGCCGATGGGGCAAGGATAGCCCAGGCGCCTCATCTGGCAGACCTTCCGCTCAGACGATGCAGATTCCCCTGTAGTCAGCTGAGCGGTCCCTCGTAAGTCTGTTGGAGCGATTGACTCTCCAACAGGGCTCACGCCAGTGATTCAGATTCCACTTGGCTCTCTTGTGCCGGGATTTGCAGGACCGTGACAAGACGGAGGGCAAGACTTCCCCACCCTTGTCGCAAAGGCGCCTTGTGCGTCTGGTTTTGCGCAGATTTTCCACTATATTTTTCAACAAAAGCCACAAACGGCTTTCCAGCGTTCAGGCCTGGGCTGGGAAGGTCACCCCTTTTGGTGCTGCCAGGCTGACCGTCTCAAGTAAAGCAGTTGGCCGGTTGATTCAAAAACCAAGCCTTGGCAGCAACAAAAGGAATTGACATTTGAAAAAGGCAGAGAGGAACAGAGGATTTCCTTCGTGGACTGGCTGGCGTGCCATGCTTGGTGCGGGCATTGTTGGCCAGCCCTGACCCAGCAGCTCCTCACGTTCGATTCATACGCCGCAGCCCCAAGGCGTTCCATCCTTACTGAGCAATGAAGCCGCTCCTGGGTTGAGAGGGGTCTTCATTTCAACCGCTGTGCTGCGCTGTCTTCAACTTGTGGGCGGGAATGCGAATGGATTCAGCATTGATCATAGGAAGCTCGGCCCAGCTAACACTTCTCAGACTTTCCGTTTACTGTCTCATCGTCCGGAATCTAAGGTCTGAACTAATCGACCTTAGCCGGGCGTTTATGGTTCGAAAAATGGCTTGGTGCTATTCGTAGGACCATCAGCTCCAAAGATTGATGGGCTTATAATTTTTTCGGACCGGTTTACCTAGCGTGAAGCGCAGGTTTGCCCTCCTTCCAGCCTCCTGATGCCCAGCAGTACTTACAAGAAAGATCAATGCCATGACATGTTTGTAGTTTATTGGCACTGCGCGAAGGAAGGGGCATAGCATGCTCCGGGCCTTGCCATATGTGCGAAGGCACAACTGCAAGAACGTGGAAGTAACGAGCAGTCATGCCAGCCGTGGCAGGCGCCATACCAGTACCGTGAGCAAAGGAGTCAAAAGTGCATGTCGGCTAGCATAATCTAGCACGTGAGCAGCTCTGGCTAGGGACTGGGCTGTCGGCCCATCTATCTGCACGGCTTGTCCACTGGATTTATAGAGCACACTGCAGCGGGTTTCAGATTGTAAGCTCCATGGTGGTTTCTGGTATAGGCTAATCTGGTAGCACCGAGTCACATCACAAACCTTGTTTAGCTCAGCAGTAGCTGTACGGGCGACCGATGCGACTGTAGCAGGAACACACGAGCTTGTCATGATCGTCGTGCCACCACAAGTGGCTACAAGCAGTGCTAATTCAAAAGGTAAGAGGTGCTGCAGGAATCCGATACCCTCAGTTAGGTCGAACCAGCCCAGCTCATCTTCTGCAAGCTCTCACGAGCCTGCAGTGCCAGGTGTTGGCGGACCTTGCAGCTACCTTGCGCCGCTGTGGAGCTGAGCACGGGCTGGTCGTTGTGGTCGGTGTGCTCAGTGGGCTGGGTATTCATTTGGCCTGGCAATCTTGCTTCGAATTAGAAATGCTAGCGCACATTTGCCTTGGGCATTGGACTTGCAGAATGCAGGATGATGCGCATCAAGCTTGCTTCCAGGGATCCTGCCAGCATGTGGCCTACCACATCATCACTTGCAGATGGCACGGGAAAAGCTTTGGGAAATGTTGTGAACGTAGAGCCTGGTGTCATGTCACTGGCTGCTTGGTCTGCCAGCTGAGAATTGAAAACGCACAAATCTTAAACCCGGTTTCTCACAACCGGAGTCCGCTGCCGTGACCATGGGGCAACGTTTGAGTTGGGAGGGTATAGGGCGAACCAAATAAGGTTACAGCTGTGTGTCTGTTCCAGACGGGCCAAGGCAAACTGTCAGCATGGCGGCTTAAAGATGCTATTACGGCTTGGGACTTTCAAGATAGTCCATTCTGCAAAATCTTAACCGCAACCTGGCTTGTCCGTGCATGTGATGAATGCCAGCCTTGGCTGTAGCATGTGCAGTCTCCACAATTTCTTCTCTCAGTGCTTTCTGGTCCAAGCCTTTGCAGGTCACCAATCACATGACAACCAGGAGACCGGGGAAGCGAAATTGCAAGTTTTTTTTTGCACAATGTCAAGTCTTGCTTGTTGTGACCCTGGCCGCTGACTGCTCCAACAGAATAACTGATACAACTGCTTAGCGTGACCTTGCAGTCCGCGCAGGTTTGACCGTGATGACTCATCGGGTTGGTTGGCACCAGCCCTGGGAGAGGCAGGCAGCATTCATACGGGGAAATTACTTGCGATGCCGCTGTTGTGCCAGACCTGGGCTCATCAACCCAGCACGCAGCTTCGATTGGAGAAAACGCGAGAATCTTAGTGTTCGCAACCGCGAAGAGCATTTGCGCCCCGTGCCGAGGGACAATTGGCAGCAGCCTGGGGTGGGCCGTGCAACTCTGACCAAGTCCGTGGAGCAGGACGGCTGACCACTGCTGCCTGGCGGCTGACCTTGTTTCACTTGAGAATCTTGGCGGATTTGCAGCTGGGAGCGCTCAACTGCTTGGAGGCCACCGGCCTTAGCTGCCTCTTCCGCATCGAAAGGGCGGGGCTGCGTGACCACGGCGGTGTGGCGTGGTGCGCTCAGAGATTTTGTATGTGCAGAGGAAAAATGCGACAGCTCAGTAGTTGATACTGAAGGGGCGAATACTATCATGCGTACGCATTTCGTATCGAACGACAGTTCATAACTTGGTTCTGAAGCCTGAAGAGGAGTTTGGTAGTTAACTCCAGACATGCCTTAGTGGGATGTCATGGGATGTCCAGCAAAGCTCGACTGGTCTGAGCTAGCATGCAAAGAATTGGAGAACAGTTAGCTTATTGTGCAGTAGTCATCCCGCCCGCAAATGTGATTTCCGTGCAAAAGATCCTGTTGGGTTCATAGGTGCGAAGTTCAATTTATCGGAGTTGGGGTGTGAGCTACCTGTCTATGCTAGCTTAAGATCGGCAGACAACCTCGAATTTTCTATTGGTCGTGAGATTCCTGGCTTTTGCATTATCCTCTCTCACAGAATTGGCAGCAACAGAGCCAGCCTCACATTCTCTGGGAGAACTGCTTTAAAGTTAACGTCTGTTGAACCGTCTGCACCGATATGAAGGAGAACTTTCAACCTTGCACTGTCTCGTCCCAGTCTGCGACATTTTTACTCCGAGGCTGCGTGAGCCCATCCTCGCACCGCCCCTGGTCTTCTGCTGCGCAATCCCTGACATCGGTTCCATTCTAGTCCGTAGACTTGTCAAGCTTCCACACGGCAAATCTGGGCAGTGGTCATGCACGCTTGTCTTCTCTCCTGAGGTTCGTTAGTTCGATAGCTGCCAGTCTGAGCGTTGCTGTTAGCACCAAGCCGAGGGTTGAGGCAGTGCCAAGGGGTTGGTTGCTGCGAGATGCAAGCAAAGAACGCAATCTATGATCTGGCAGCCTATAAAATCATTATGTGCCGCGTCATCTCCCAGCTCCTCCAGAGCCTACATGTGGGGAGGCTGGGCAAAGAGCAAAAAGGTTTCCAAAAAGGTGCGGAACTCAAGCTGTGCCACTGTGCAGTGGCCAATGGCCAGCGTTTCCATAGCACCGTGCACGTGCTGGGACTCAGGCTTTAAAGGGAACAGCATGCCCCAGAGACCAGAAATTGCGATCACAAACTTGATGCTGCAAGAAATGGCCAATGAGGGAGGCAATGATCCTGCACAAGCCGCTATCCGCAAGCACCATGAGCTTTGCGGTCAGCACAAGATCAGTAGCTAGTAGTGCCTCAACAAGAAGCAGGCCTGCGCTTGGGTTCCAACATGGAGCCAAGCAAACCTTTCCTGGCACCCATGTCGCTGAATGTGTCCTTCGCACTCTGGCGTTCCTCGCCGAGGCACACACGCGCACACACGTAACTTGAGTGGTGTCAGAGACAGGTGCACATTGTTTGTGTTGTGAAGTCAACTGCAGAGAATCAGTGGAGAATTTGAGAAAGTGTTGCGCAAAAGTCCTGGTACCACAAAGTACTTTTGCAGAAGAAGCAGTCCCAGAATCAGAGCATGTAGCCTCACTGGCACAAAGTCGATTTAAGACAACAAGTAATCAGAGACGTCTTTCATAGTCACGTGCTGTCGTGGCGGAGATGTAGTTTAGGGCATGCGCTGGGCTTGCCAACCTGAGCAGAAGGACTTTTCCGGAACATCTTTCAGAGAGCTCCTCACCTAAAGTCCTGGCAAAGAGCATCAGCGAAGCCAACTTAGCCATAAGGCAGCCTCAAGCGCTCATTCGCCGGCCAGAATCCAGAAAAGGTTGGTCAAGGATGAGGTAAACCTAATCAAAGCCAATCACGCCCCAAGACCTACCTGAAGGCTCTAGGGCTATAGCCAAGGAGGTTTTGGCACCATCCCTCTAGGACTATCAAAACTAGAAGCGGAGCAAGACCATTAACAAAAGCAAACGCAAGCAGGAAGAGGTATGACAACACACGATGGGGGATTGAGCTAGGAAGCAGGCGCACGCATGCCAATAGCTTGTGTGGTACCCAATCCAAGAACCGGGAGGCCAACAGATGTGAGCACGGTCATCCTGGTATGATCGAGGCAGGCAGGGAGGTGCTGGCATTCTGGCAGCAGCCAAACAACTTCTTACCCAGGTTTGCTGCCATAGCGCCGACCTGTCAGTTCCAGTGGAGACAGCTGTGTTGTCCGCAGAGGCCATTTTGTGAAAGCTCATCTTGTTGATTCGTTGATTCTGTCAGAAACTGCCTAGTGGTCTGACTTGTATTGACAGACAGCTATCGAGACAAGTCTGCTTTGCCCCATTTATCCACAGGTCGAGCTGGATGGCTTTGTCATAGGCTGGCTGGTGTGCAATGCTTTTGTGGAAGGTGGATGCGAGGTTTGCACTTCTGCAGATGTGCAGTCTGCTGAAGGCCGCACCCAGCCATGTGCAGCCCTCAGGATGCAGAACAAGGTACCGCCTGCAGCCTGGCACTGGTAATCTGACGCATATGTTTTTCTTTAACGTGGAAGCAAATAAGTCAGTCACGGGCAACTGTTATCAGATTTCTCGGAGCAGAGCAGGCTGCCAAGTGATTCGCTCGCGAGATCTCGCGAGCATTCACTTAGGCCCGGCTCCAGGACCCAGATCGCAGCCAAGTTGGGAGGCCCATGGGTGACGCCAAAATGCCATCGACCATGCGGGCACATGATCTCTGGACTAAAGTCCTAGTATATCCCTTAATCGGTCTCCCCTAAAACCTCATATATTCCCCTATAGGTCCCCCGCAACATAACTTTAGTCCGTAGCTCACATGACGTCACATTGAGTTCATCAAGCTGCTTGCCTTCAACGTGCAGTTTTGCACCAGCCTATGTGAGCGGCCATCGCAGCAGCAACAGCCGTGAGTCGTGGGGGCAACTCCTGAATTTGCTGCATCTTCGGTTCCACCTTCTGGATCCTGCTGGTAGTGGTGGTTCTGGATAATTTTTGCCCGAAATCACGCTCTGGTGTGGAGCAGCCTCAGATTTTGTTTCGAAATCATGCTCGGGTGGAGCGTGTGGGTTTCAGCTTCTTTGTTTAACACATGTGACGAATTGTGAGAAGCAAGGGAGGTGGATTTTGCAACCGCTTTCTTTGAATTATTCTTCTCTGCATCATGCGCATATTATCATTGCAAGGGAGGGGAGCTATGAGTTGAACACACACACATGTCAAGTATCATCGAATGGTGCGATCGAAGTGGATTTTGCTGGTGTGAAAAGTCACAGTCACAGTCCTTTTCTAAACTGAGAGCAAGGCCAGAAAAAGTGCGCACATGGTAATTTTATCGCTAACGCGAGACCACCTCGGCAAAGTAGTCGAGGGTAGAGATGTCGGTTGAGGGGCGTGGCTGTTGTCGTGCATGAGCCGGACGCGTGTTCACCTGCACCGCAGCTCGAGCCCGGTGTACAAACACCCCCCCACCTGCCGCCCCCCCCCACCCCTCCCATCACCTCAAGATCGTTTTTGCGCTTCTGATTGGCCTGGCACCTAGGAGGCTCCTGCGTTTCAGACCCAGGACCAAGGATTCTGAATTCCAAGAAACACGCTGACCCTCCCCCCTCCTGGGAAACCGACGAAATCGGCGCCGTTCCGCCCCCCCCCACATCGCGCTTGAGGGGGGTGGGTTTAACTACTCCTAGTCTCCGGCTCCCGGATCTAAACGACCCAGGCCTCCGGCCTCGGTGGATTGTTGGGGGACGTGTTTGCTTTACTCGCCACGTAGTCCAATAGCTGGTTACCTGAAGAATCTGAAGACTTTCTATCGGTTTCCTGTCAGATGCGGTTGATGTCTGTAGTTCTTCTCCATTTCAGCTTGCAGGTATGCTGAAAACGGCTATGAGTTGTGCTGCCAGATATGATTGCAGCAACTACACCCTCCACTGGCGCGGAAAAACTTGAGAACTCAAACGATCATTCTAGTGGTTGCACACGCTGGAACAGTACCAAGCTGAGGCAACACAAATCTTGTTGTGGATTAGGCTTGCGTCAGTAATGACAATTCTTCTAGCACCA